TGAAAAACAGCAAGAATATATAAAACTACAAATTAGCAACATCTATTTTTCTGTTCTAAAAGACTAATTGAAATCCTGTGACATGATAAAAAACAGAAACACACACACACATTACAAGTACTAAAAGCAAATATTCGAGGTAAGTGTTAAGGGTGTATATTTTTGACCTCTTATACATTGGTGACGGGAGTAGTAAAGGCTTGGGTGGCTGTACACTCTTTATTCTGTAAGAGTTAAGCACACAATTATGATAAACACAAACGAGACAGTCTTGGGTTAAGCGCGGGATCGCCTAAGGTCGCGGGCGGCCCCCAGCCCCAGCGGGCAGACTAGCCGCGAGGATCAGACGTGACCTCGGGCGCGGCAGAGCACACTCTAACTGACAGGGAGTATTTGTAGCGGCGGCCACCGGAAGCAGCTGTAGGAGGCAGCTGTCTCCACCCGGTATATTGGGCCGAGCAATATACCGTGTTATCAGTGGCGTAGCGAGAAATTTCCAATGGGGGGGGGGGGTTACAAGTGTCTTCCAAAAAAATGTAGACAGGCGCCGGAGGCGCGTGGAGACGCGCTGAAAGCGCGTCTGGTGGAGGGTGATAGGGAGGAGGTATCCCCCTCCCTACGATGGGGTCCGGGGTCCCTCCGGTAAAATTTTGATAAAATACATGTTATTTTTTTGCAGTTTTAAGCATTCTCCGAAGATAAATCATTGTAGTATAATGTAGGATGGGGTAGATAAGGTGGTTCTATAGTTGTAATTCAATATCACAATTGACAAGCTCTCATCAAAGAGGGTTGTATTTCCTGGCTGTTTCTCGGCATATGTACACATTTAATTGATCTTGCTAACAATAACAGTAACTAGATAACATTGTGCTACCCATTTCCTTTCGCAGGACCCTATTGTTCGGGTTACATCTTATCTGTTGGAAGATCAAAGGCAAAATGCCGTTATATGCAAACCAAGGCATTTAAGGACGATGAATGATAAATTGTGTATTACAAAGACAAGTTTGAGAAAAAAAAATGATTTTTACATCCCTGTACGTCGTCTGTGGCGCATTCTGTAAGTTATATAAATGTAATATTATAACTTCAAGTTTGATATGGTGCCCTATATCCATGGCCCATGGGGGGGGTTCTGACCCCCAGGCAGCTGTCTCCACCCGGTATATTGGGCCGAGCAATATACCGTGTTATCAGTGGCGTAGCGAGAAATTTCCAATGGGGGGGGTTACAAGTGTCTTCCAAAAAAATGTAGACAGGCGCCGGAGGCGCGTGGAGACGCGCTGAAAGCGCGTCTGGTGGAGGGTGATAGGGAGGAGGTATCCCCCTCCCTATGATGGGGTCCGGGGTCCCCCCGGTAAAATTTTGATAAAATACATGTTATTTTTGGCAGTTTTAAGCATTCTCCGAAGATAAATCATTGTAGTATAATGTAGGATGGGGTAGATAAGGTGGTTCTATAGTTGTAATTCAATATCACAATTGACAAGCTCTCATCAAAGAGGGTTGTATTTCCTGGCTGTTTCTCGGCATATGTACACATTTAATTGATCTTGCTAACAATAACAGTAACTAGATAACATTGTGCTACCCATTTCCTTTCGCAGGACCCTATTGTTCGGGTTACATCTTATCTGTTGGAAGATCAAAGGCAAAATGCCGTTATATGCAAACCAAGGCATTTAAGGACGATGAATGATAAATTGTGTATTACAAAGACAAGTTTGAGAAAAAAAAATTGATTTTTAAATCCCTGTACGTCGTCTGTGGCGCATTCTGTAAGTTATATAAATGTAATATTATAACTTCAAGTTTGATATGGTGCCCTATATCCATGGCCCATGGGGGGGGTTCTGACCCCCCAACCCCCCCCCCCTTTCGCTACGCCAATGCGTGTTATTATATGCCAACGTGGCGCGCCCACGCTTGACGCCCCACGCTCGCGAACCCAAGCAACGCTGCTCTCATCAGATATAAAGGACCGCGTTTGACCGGTCAACCTAGCCTCCAGGCTAGTACAGTGGTAACGGAAACAGCTTCTCATCCGAGGGGTCGGTGGTTCGCGCCCCCGCCCAGGCGCGAGAAGTTGCATTTGTCGCCTGGGGGTTACTGCTGTAGCTTGGCACCACGGCGGGTAAGGACTAAAAAGCCGAGTCAGCACCAGCTGACACACTGTAAGCGAGTCGACAGAAGCGGGGCTCCCTTCATAACCCGGGCGAGGCTCAGCTTCGCATATCGGACTAATCCTTACCGGTCAACCAGTGTGCTCTGGCGCGGCGAGGTCACGTCTGATCCTCGCGGCCACTCTGCCCACTGGGCTGGGCCGCGTCCGTGACCTAAGGCGACCCCAGCGCTTAACCCAAGTCCTGTCGTTGTGTTAAACATATTCCGTGTGCTAACTCTTACAGAATAAAGAATGTAAAGCCACCCAAGCTTTTACTACTCCTGTCACCAATGTATAAGAGGTCAATTCACACCCTTTACAATAGGTAAGCTCACACAGTCAGCATCAACAGGGTTGAGGACAGTGGTGTTAAAAAACCTTCAATAGATTTTAAAGTATCTGAGCGTCAAAGCAACGTAACATGAAAAAGACGACAGCCAGTGCTACCGCTGAGTCAGTAAAATTCTCAATATATATATATATATATATATATATATATATATATATATATGTATATATATATATGTATATATATATATGTATATATATATATATATATATGTATATGTATATATATATATATATATATATATATATATATATATATATATATATATATATATATATATATATATGCATTATGTATGTCGAACATTAGGCACAGCGTAGAAACATGGGCACGTTGCTATCGCGACCGGTCTGGGAAAGTATCGCGAATGAGATTAGCGACACTTTCTAGTGTCGCAAGACAGTTTTTTGACAGTGGATAAGTCCGATAAAGCTGAGCCTCGGCCGGGTTATGCCCATGAGGGGAGCCCGCCCTGTACCGATTACATCCGACTCGCTAACTTGTGTCAGCTGGTGCTGACTCGGCAGAGCTTAGTAAATTATCCGTCGTGGTTCCCAGCCACAGCAGTAACCTCCGGGCGACAATTGCAACTTCTCACGCCTGGGCGGGGCGCGAACCGACGACTACTCGGATGAGAGGCCGACATTGCCACTGTACTAGCCCGGAGTCTAAAGTCTAAGGATAAGTCCGATATGCGAAGTTGAGCCTCGCCCGGGCTATGCCCATGAAGGGAGCCCAACCTGTGTCGACTAATACCGACTCGCTAACGTGTGTCAGCTGGTACTGACTCGGGTGAGCTTAAGGGCGTTTCAAATGGCCTTGTGTACACGTTCCTGGCCGTAAGCTCGGTTACCCGCCGTGGTGCCCAGCCACAACAGTAACGTCAAGGTGACAATTGCAACTTCTCACGCCTGGGCGGGGCGCGAACCGACGACTACTCGGATGAGAGGCCGACATTGCCACTGTACTAGCCCGGAGTCTAAAGTCTAAGGATAAGTCCGATATGCGAAGTTGAGCCTCGCCCGGGCTATGCCCATGAAGGGAGCCCAACCTGTGTCGACTAATACCGACTCGCTAACGTGTGTCAGCTGGTACTGACTCGGGTGAGCTTAAGGGCGTTTCAAATGGCCTTGTGTACACGTTCCTGGCCGTAAGCTCGGTTACCCGCCGTGGTGCCCAGCCACAACAGTAACGTCAAGGTGACAATTGCAACTTCTCACGCCTGGGCGGGGCGCGAACCGACGACTACTCGGATGAGAGGCCGACATTGCCACTGTACTAGCCCGGAGTCTAAAGTCTAAGGATAAGTCCGATATGCGAAGTTGAGCCTCGCCCGGGCTATGCCCATGAAGGGAGCCCAACCTGTGTCGACTAATACCGACTCGCTAACGTGTGTCAGCTGGTACTGACTCGGGTGAGCTTAAGGGCGTTTCAAATGGCCTTGTGTACACGTTCCTGGCCGTAAGCTCGGTTACCCGCCGTGGTGCCCAGCCACAACAGTAACGTCAAGGTGACAATTGCAACTTCTCACGCCTGGGCGGGGCGCGAACCGACGACTACTCGGATGAGAGGCCGACATTGCCACTGTACTAGCCCGGAGTCTAAAGTCTAAGGATAAGTCCGATATGCGAAGTTGAGCCTCGCCCGGGCTATGCCCATGAAGGGAGCCCAACCTGTGTCGACTAATACCGACTCGCTAACGTGTGTCAGCTGGTACTGACTCGGGTGAGCTTAAGGGCGTTTCAAATGGCCTTGTGTACACGTTCCTGGCCGTAAGCTCGGTTACTCCCTCGATGAGAGGCCGACATTGCCACTGTACTAGCCCGGAGTCTAAAGTCTAAGGATAAGTCCGATATGCGAAGTTGAGCCTCGCCCGGGCTATGCCCATGAAGGGAGCCCAACCTGTGTCGACTAATACCGACTCGCTAACGTGTGTCAGCTGGTACTGACTCGGGTGAGCTTAAGGGCGTTTCAAATGGCCTTGTGTACACGTTCCTGGCCGTAAGCTCGGTTACCCGCCGTGGTGCCCAGCCACAACAGTAACGTCAAGGTGACAATTGCAACTTCTCGCGCCTGGGCTAAATAAAGTCTATAGAGTCCCGCTTTTATTAAGTTGTCTTCGTCGATCACACACACACACACACACACACACACACACACACACACACACACACACACACACACACACACACACACACACACACACACACACACACACACACACACACGTTCACCCATATATTGTATAAATACACATATATGGATATGTGTTTATAATGCATAAACTATATTTATGAGTTGCTGCATTGTGGATTTCTCTTCCATAGTATCAACAAGAGTTTTAGCATTTATGTACACACACACACACACACACACACACACACACACACACACACACACACACACACACACACACACACACACACACACACACACACACACACACACACACATATGTAAAGGAATATACACACACATATGTGT